CATTCTGCCTTGAGAGCCTACAACCCAATGGTCTCAATGTGGACTTCACTAGTTTCAAAATCTCCCCACCCCCTGCCCTTATCCCATGACCAACCTTCCCTCTCATCCCCGCCTCCTTGACCTGACACAACCTGTCGGTCTTGTCTCCCACCTAGCCGCTCCTCCCACCTCACTAACCAATCCCCACCACTCCCTACCTGCACTCACCTATCACCATCCCACCTACCTTCCCCAGCCCCACCCCTCCTCTCTATTTATTTCTGAGCTCCCTTCCCCCTCCCCCATTTCTAATGAAGGGTCCCGAACTGAAACGTCAGCTTTCCTGCTCCTCTGATGCTGCCTGGCCTGCTGTGTTCCTTCAGTTCCACACTGTTATCTTTGACTCCAGCATCGGCAGTTCTTACTATCTCTGCCTATGTCTTAACTCGCATCAAGTCCCAAACCCCTATCATCCCTATGCTCACTCACCAACATAGATTCCCAGTGAAGTCATCTTAATTTCTAAAATTTATATCAATGTTTTCAAATCCCTTCATAATCTCCCCCTCCAGTCCCATTCCATCTCTGTAGCCTCCATCAACTCCGTAGCCTGCCTGGAGGAGATGGTGGTATTGTCACTGGACTAGTAATCTGGAGGCCATGCTAATCCTCTTGGAACATGGGTTTGAATCCCAGGATGGAGATGATGAAAATTGAATTAAATTGATAAATCTGGGATCAAAAAGTTGTTAATAGGCTTTTTGACAACTGATAATGACAACACTATCAGATTAAGTAATGTCCTTTTAAAAGAAAGAAACTTTGTCATCCTCATCTGATCTGGCCTGTGTGTGATACATTCATATCTTAACTCTTAAATGCTCTCTGAAATGGCCTAACAAGTTTTAAACCGCTACAAAGCCCAACAAAAAAGAATTAAACCAGATGGACCACCCAGCCTTAACCAAGACACTAGAGATAAAAATGCTACATAGCCCCATCAACCCACTAACATCGCGGTCAAATTGGGTTGCCATTCTACAGAGGAGTCAAGTAACAGCCTACCATAGTTATTCTCATGGAATCATAACAAATAATGACCCATCAACAACAACAGTCCCCAACCCTGGGTATGTCCATCGGAGATGAAGGCACAGTGGTATACGGTCAGGAGGGAGTTGTCCTGGGAGTCCTTGTCATTGACTGTGCCATGAAATGTCATGGTATCAAGTCAAACATAGGCAGGGAAACCTCCTGCTGATAACTACCAACTCTTTCCCCTTTCCCTTGCAGCTGATGAATCAGTTCTTCTCCATTTTGAATACCAAACAGAGCACTTTACAATTTCAATATATTTCAGCAAGAATAGCTGGGCAGCACCACTACAAACTGATGTGGTTGATGTCTACAGTGCATTGCTGCTAGACTGGTTATTCTCGGACAGTGAAGGAGAAAACTTGCAGATTGTGCATCTGTCTGTGACATTATCAGTAAGATTGATCATCGCATAATCCTTGCAGAGACAAAGTGCTGCCCTCACATTGAGAATATTTTTCGTATTGTGTGGCACTATCAACGTGCTGAATGGGATTGATTCTAGAACAGATCTAGCAGCTCAACACTGGAGATCCACGAGGTACGGTCGACCATCAACAGCAGCAGTATTGTATAACAACATAATCTGTAACCTCATGGCTAGACATATTGTCCCATTATACTATTCCCACTTAGCCATAGAATTAACCCTGGTTCAGTTAAAGGTGCAGGAGAGCATTCCAGAATCAGCAGAAGACATAGAAAAATGAGATACAGTATCAACCTGTTGAATATACAAAACAAGTCAGCTCGCATGCCAAACAGCGTAAGAAACATGTGATAGACAGGGCGACGTGATCCCACTACCATAGAATTGACTGACAGATTTGCAGTCCTACCACAACCGGTTGTGAATGATGGTGGATAATTAAACAACCATCAGGAGAAGGGGGTTCCACAAATATTCCCAACCAAACAATGGTGTAAAAGACAAAGCTGAAGCATTCCAGAACATCTACAACCAGAAGTGCCAAGTGGACAATCCATCTCGGCCTCTTCATGAATGCCTTGCATTGCAACTGACAATCTTTTTGCCCATCCAAATCATTCTAGGTGATCTCAAATGGCTAAATACACTGTATAATGCAAAAGTGCTGTGATAACATTTGGGAAATAGTTCTGAAGTATAGTTGTGCCACAGTACTAGCCACGTCCTTGGCTAAGTTGTTCCAGTACAGTTGCAACACCAGCACCTGGCCGAAAAGGAGGAAAATTGTCCACAAAAAGCAGAACAACTTGGTCAATAGCCATAAGCCTACTTTCTACCATTTGCAAAGTGATCGAAGCAAAGTGATCAACAGTGCTATCAAGCAGCACTTATTTAATAGTAACCTGCCCACTGATGCTCTGTTTGGGTGCTGCTGGGCCACTCAGCTCCTGACCTCATTACAACCTTGATCCAAATGTTGGCAAAAGAGGGGAAATGGGATTGACTGCTGGAGACATCAAGGCACTGTTTGACCAAGTGCTGCAAAACTGGATGGTAATCTGGAGGAAAACTGTCCACTGAAGTCGTACCTAGCACAAAGGGAAAAGATTGTTGTTGGAAGTCAACCTCTCAGCCAACAGGCATCATTGCAGGAGTTCCTGAGGGTAGTGTTCTAGGTCCAACCATCTTCAGCTGTTTCATCAATGAACATCGCTCCATCTTAAGAACAGAAATGGGGTTTTCATCAATGATTGCACAACATTCAGCACCATTTGTCTCTCCTCAGATGCTGAAGCAGTCCATGTCCAAATGCAGCAAAACATTCAGACTTGAGCTGAAATGTCGAAAGTAACATTCACGCTACACTAATGCTTGGCAATAATCGTCTACAACCAGAGAGAATCCAATCGTTGTGTCTTGCAATTCAATAGCATTGCAATTGCTGAATCCCCCACAATCAACATTCTGGGAGTTACTTTTGACCAGAAACAGTAGTGAACCAGCTGTGTAAATACTGTGGCTACAAGAACCGATCAGAGGCTGAGAATTCTGCAGCAAATAAATCACACCTGACTCATCAAAGCTTATCCACTATATACCACGCACAAGTCAGGAGTCCTTGCCTGGATGAATGTAACACAAACAAAACTCAAATTGGACAGCATCCGGGACAAATCAGCTCTTTTAATTGGCATCCTGTCTAACACCTTTTAACGCTTGCTCCCTCCACCACTGATAAACAGAAGCAGCAGTCTGTGCCATCTACAGTATGCACTACAGAAATTCACCAAGGCTCCTCAGAGAGCACCTTCTAATCCCATGATCCTACTACCTGGAGGGCACACCTTCCTGGGAATACTACCACCTGCAAGTTCTCCCTCAAACCAAACATGGTTCTGATTTGGAACTAAGTTGCCACTCTACCATTGTCATGGGATCAAATTCTGAGAACTCCGAACTCCCTTCGTAACAACAGCTTTGTGGGTGTCCAAACACCACGTAGACTGCAGCGGTTCAAGAAGACATTTCTTCACCACCTTCTCAAAGATAAGTAGGGATTCAATAAATGCTAGCCTAGCCTGCAACACCCACATCCAGTAAATGATTTTTTGAAAATTGACATTTCTTTACTTCTTGTGAATTCCTAATTTTAATCACTCCTCCACCGGTCATGCATTCAGTTGCCAAGGTGTTAAACTCCTGAGATTGCTGAATAGGGAGGACTGACTAGGAAGAGGGAGAGAGAGAGAGTCAGTTGGGATTGTATTCACTAGGAGTTTAGAAGAATGAGGGGGAATCTCATAGAAACCTATAAATTCTAACAGGACTAGACCGATTAGATGCAGAAAGGATGCTCCCAATGTTGGGAGAGTCCAGGGCTAGGGGGTCATAGTTTGAGGATAACGGGTAAACCTTCTAGGACTGAGATGAGGAGAAATTTCTTCATCCAAGAAGCGGTGAGTTGGTGGAATTTGCTACCATAGAAATTAGTTGAGGCCAAAACATGTATTTTGAATAAGGAGATAGGTATAGCTCTTCTGGCTAAAAGGATTAAGGGATGGGGGAGAGGGGGTAGGATTTAGGGTATTGAGTTCTATGATCAGCCATGATTGTATTGAATGGTGGAGCAGGCTCGAAAGGTTAAATGGCCTTTTCCTGCTCCTATCTTTTTTTTTTTTTTTGCTTTTTCTGGAATTGCCATAGAAACAAATCATCTACTTCCTCTGCTTTGCTACCTCTGTCCTCCTTTTTAAGATGCTGTATATAACTTACCTCCTCGACCTCGCTTCTGGCCATATGAGTATCACCTTACATGGCTCGTAGTCCTAAATTGTTTTAAAGTGTTCATGTGGAACTTGTTTTATGTTGTTAAAAGTGCAACACAAATAAAAGTTGATGTTGCTTTCCATCCTGTCACAGACTTCCCCTTTTGTTCCTTGTTTTCTTCCCCCACCACCCTCCCACCTTCTCTGTACCCATACACGTTCAAAATCTGTTATGTGCATAAGATTTTTTCTGTTCTTGTACGAAATTTCAGATCTGAGATATTTTATACCTCTCTACAGATGCTGCCCGAATCTTTGTATGCTTCCATCATACTTCATAGAATTCTATTTGGGCTGAAGAGTGTGGTATGATTGGAGAAACTGGGATTAGTTTTCTTGGAACAGTGGCTGCTAATGGGAGTTTTCATAGAGGTGTTCAAAATTGAGTGAATTGATTGACTATTAAGGAGAATCCATTTCCAGAGAAAAAGGTCCATAATCAGAAATGTTAAGAAGTTATTTCCATTATTAATACTTTTTGAAGTCTTGTGTTTAAAGGATTGTGAAATCTGGTTCATTTGAAAGATTGTAGAGGCATAGACATGTTTTTTTTAAAACAGGTCTTTTAAGAGGACATTTTTTAACATTTTTCAAAGTCTTATTGGAAATCACATATCTGAGTGTATGGCTGTCTGCTGAGAGAAATTATGTAACTCATTCTCTTCCAACAGTCTTGATGAATCTTCTGTGATTCCAATGCACGAGCTGAAAACTATTCAGTTATCCTCCTGAAGAGCTTCTAGAAGACCACCTCTCAACTTGTGAACAAACTGCATTTGAAAAGATCCCAGACAACTGCATGTGTTTAGTAGCACTGGTCTGTATGCCAAGACCCCAGAATAAGAGATGCCTAGTACATTTCATATCATATCCTTTTTTCCTTCTTAAGCTAACAATTATTTAGCCAATATTTTTTGTACAGCTGGTCTCTGCAGAGAAAAGTTTCTTAATTTTACTTTGGCGGCACGGTGGCTCAGTGGTTAGCATTGCTGCCTCACTGCGCCAGGGACCTGGGTTCGATTCCACCCTCTAGCAACCGTCTGTGTGGAGCTTGCACATTCTCCCTCTGTCTGTGTGGGTTTCCTTCCACAGTCCAAAGATGTGCAGGTTTGGTGGATTGGCCATGCTAAATTGCCCATAGTGTTCAGGGATGTTTAGGTTAGGTGGTTTATAGGTGGATGGGTCTGGGTGGGATGCCGTGTGGGTCGGTGTGGACTTGTTGGGCCGAAGGGCCTGTTTCCACACTAGGGATTCTATGATCTAGTGTGTGTGTTTGTACGTACATTAGGTTTTTTACAAGGGCATGCATACATACTGTCATATTCCAGACTCTGTTAATGGGCTTTGCATCTTTATTGAATAATTGTTGTTTCATAATAAATCAATAGTGCGAAGTATCTGATTGTCAGATTTTTATTCAGAAATGGATTATTAACATTTATAATTGACCATATACCTAACTGGGGAAAAGCTCTTTTTATTAAAATATCTGTTCTGAGCAGGGATTAGTGGAACCAGAGGAAGTCAGTACACTCCTCACACCTAAGGTGTAATAGAAGTCAGAGATTTAAGATAATTGGCAAAAGGACCAGAGGGGAATGAAAACTTTCTTCCTTTTAATGAAAGGAATTGTTATGACTTGAAATGCACTTCCGAAAAGGTAGTGCAAACAGATTCAAATACACCTTTCAAAGGGAATTAACTAAATAGTTGAAAAAAAGGAAAATTTATAGGGCAATTGGAAAAAGCAAGGAAGTGAACTAATTAATTTTTTCAAAGAGCCAGCACAGGGCCAAATGGCTTCTCTCTGTGTTATACAACTTATTTTTGACACTTTTTTTTTGTTACAAGATTTTTTGTTTTTGAACAGTTGATCGTGTATGTGGAATGTAGAATAGTCAAATACTTATTATCTTCTAATTCTCAGGAGCTGCCAGTAATTGAAGTATTACAAGATTTCCATAAAACTGAAGAGCTGTAAAAAGAGTTAAAAAAATATGGAACTGGACAAACAAGGCAGGTCAGACAGCATCCAAGGAGCAGGAAAGTCAACATTTCGGGTCAAAACCTGTCAGATCAGTCCTGAAGAAGGGTTCTGATCTGAAACGTTGACTTTCCTGCTCCTCGGATGCTGTCTGACCTGCTTTGCTTGTCCAGCTCCACATTTTTTGACTCTAGCTTCCAGCATTTGTGGTCCTTACCGTCTCCAAGCTGCAAAAAGAGGGTATATAAAATGAGTTCCCATAACACACACTTTAAGAAAAGCTCAGGGAGTGACAAGATATTTGAATATAAACAACAAAGACCTGTACCCCTCAATGGATTCCATCAAAAGCAAAGGGTAAGAATTGCTTTTTTTCCCTCTTGGCCCCAAATACAGCATTTCATGTCTGAATGGTACAAGCTAAACAAACATATGCCAAGACGTGAGTAGATACTAAAACTGAACAGGTTGTGCCCAAAGATATGGTACCATGTGCTGAAGTAATTGCTGTTCACAGAACTATACCCCAAATTAATCAGTAGTTTCAGAAGAGGGGTGAAAATAATACGTTTGGGTATGTGGAGGACGGAGGAAAAATAAACCCATGCAAAATGTAATAGCTGTGTTATTTGGTAGAGTGTGAGAAAGATTGCTGCATTATGATGCTGTTACAGAGAGGAAGGTCGAACCCCTGTGATAATTAAACTGAAACACAAGCTCCCAATCTGTTACAGCAGGAGTAGAGGTTCCCTTCCAATAAGTAAACCCGAGACACCCAGTGAAGCTTACCTTGCCTTTTATAATCTGTTTAAAAAGAGTGGTTAAATGAAAGAAAATCCCTGATATTCACTTTATAAGTAACTATTTAGTTAGCCCTAACAGTGAACAAATTAATAGAACTACTAACACACTAAGCAATTTCCCCCTTAACTATTAATTATTCCCTAACTGAACTAAATTCTACTACTATGCTGTTCCAATAAACACAAGTCCCACTTATATAAACCCAAGTAATAAGGAAATAAATTAAAACTTAGCCTCTCAAGTCTACACGCCTTTCTTTCTGTGAAGTCTTGTATAAGGACTCTTAACTAGAAGTGCTGAGGCACCTTTTATGGATTCCTTTCTTAGAGAGCTCAGCGATTTCTTGTGAGGGCTAGATGCTTATTTCTCAGATGACATTTTGCTCTCTCACCAATTTTCAAAAGCCCTCTCCTTATATACCTTGGATAACATATCAATTTTCTTACAATAGCATTGGTCTGAGGTTTTCAAAATCATCAGATTTAAATTCGATTGGCTTTCAATCACTAAGTGCTTGGTTAAGGAAAAAGAACATCATTATGAAAAGGTTTTTTTAAAAAAAATCTTAACACCATATCACAAGTTACACGTTTCGTACTAATTGTGCACATATATATAACATTGGACCATGCTGGTTCTATCTTATCTACACATTTTCTTTTAAACCTGTGATAATGCATCTGCAATAACCTTTTTTACAACCTGCAACATTTACAATCTGTAAATTAAAAGCCTGTAAATAAAAAGCCTGTAAATAAGACTCCAACAAAATAGCCTCGTATCTTGTTCTTAAATCTTCCCAAAAGGGTGAGCGGGTTGTAGTCTGTATACACAACCATCTCCAAAACATTGTTTGTGATGTAAACATTTGAAATGTTGTAAGGCTGGTACCAAACTCAATAACTGTTTTTCAATGGTGGAGTATTTTCTCTGGTGGATTTTGAGTTTCTTTGAAAAATAACCAATTGGCTTTCAATTCTGTCATCTTCCTCCTACACAACACAGCTCCAACCTCGACATCGCTAGCGTCATAGCAACTTTAAAGGGTTTCAAGAAATTTGGTGTGGTGGTTAACACAGCTTCTAAATTCTCAAATGCCTCCTGGCACTCCTGTCTACTGAAATTTCATGTTCTTTTTTAGCGAATCTGTCAGCGGTGCCACCACGCTACTAAGATTTGGTACAAACTTCCAGTAGGATCCGCTCAGTCCCAAAAATTGAAGCACCTTTCTTCGAGGATGGTCTTGGAAATTCCTCAATGGCTTTCATCTTCACATTCCTTGGGGTCATCCTTCCATGATCGATGTTGTGTCCCAAAAACGTAACTTCTGACTTCAGTTTTTGCCAAATTTATAACCAGTTTTTCCTCCCGTAGTCTTTCAAAGAACTCTGCCAAATGCACTATGTGACCTTTCCATGGATGGTTAAAGATCACTAAGTCATCTGTTTAGACAGCACAGTTAGTCAATCCTGCCACAACTTTGTTCATAAGTCTTCTTGAAATTTGGCTGACGCATTCTTCATTCCAAAGGGCATTACTTGAAATTGATACAGCCCATTTAGGATTACAAAGCAAAAACTTTTTTCATTCTGTCTGACAAAGGCACTTGCCAATAACCACAAAGCAAGTCCAACTTTGTGATATAAGTGGCTTGTCCAACTTTTTCCATATTGTCCTCTAGCTTTGGAATTGGATAATGGTCTGATTTAGTTATGGCATTGATCTTCCAATAATCATGCAGAATCATTGAGTACCATCAGGTTTGGGAACAAACACGATCGGCGAACTCTACTCACTTTGACTCGGCTCAATGATGTCTTCTTGGCTCTTCTTTCACTTTCTTTATCTTCTAACTCCATTTGTTTAATTTTCAATTTAATTTTTTTCAAACTCCACTGCATTTGCCTGTTTCTCTGGTATACTTAATGCTTGACTAACACCTTTACGATTTCAGCTTTCCTCTTCTCCCTAGTAAAACCCAAATCTACCCTGTTTGCTAAGTCTAAAAGTATATCCTTCCACTGTCTTTCTAAACTTTCTTGGCAAATTTGGGAGGCGTCCTGTCCTGAAAGCCCAGAACATCTTTAGCAGTGTTAAGGGCCATTTCCCCAACTTCTGATTTAATCAACCACAAGTAACCAAAATTAAACAGATTTTCCACTCCTGATCTAAGTTTTATTTAAAGATCTAGGACACTAATCGCCAAGTCTGTTTAAATCTGCTGCGACCTTTTGTACCCTGAATCTGTTCAAATCCATTCCAATCTGTTCGCATCCCATACACAAACCAGCCAGATCCTAGACCTGAGCCCCCAAACTGTTAGAGAGGAAGGTCGAGCCCCTCTGATAATTAAACCGAAACAGGAGTGCCTAAACTGTTATGGCAGGAATAGAGGTTCCCTTCTAATAATTAAACCCGAAATACTCAGAAGTTCACTTTGCCGTTATAATCCGTTAAAAAGAGTGGTTAAATGAAAGAAAATCCCTGATATTCACTTTATAAGTAACAAGTAACTATTTATTTAACCCTAACAGTGAACAAATTAACAGAATTACTAACAAACTAAACAATTCCCCCTTAACTACTAACTATTCCCTAACTGAACTAAATGCTACTAGTATGCTGTTCCAATAAATACAAGTCCCACTTATATTAATCCAAGTAATAAAAAAATTAAAACTTAGTTTCTCAAAGTCTACACACCTTTCTCCTGCTGTTCTCCAGTCATAAACACCTTTCTTCCGCTACCCTGGCTGTCAGGGATGTTTTCTCTGTGAAGTCTCCTGTGAGGACTCTTAGCTAGAAGTGCCGTGGTACCTTTTATGGATAGGTGGTGCTTTCTCAGAGAGCTTAGCGATTTCGTGTGAGAGCTAGATGCTTTTTCTCAGATGGCGGTTCGCTCTCACACCGATTTTCAAAAGCCCTCTCCTGGTATACCTTGGATGGCATATCAATTTTCTTACAATAGCATTAGTCTGAGGTTGTTAAAACCATCAGATTTAAATTCAGAGATAGTAGGAACTGCAGATGCTGGAGAATCTGAGATAACAAGGTGCAGAGCTGGATGAACACAGCAGGCCAAGCAGCATCAGAGGAGCAGGAAGGCTGATGTTTCGGGCCTCGACCCTTCTTCAGAAAATTCAATTGGCTTTCAATTGCTAAGTGTTTGGTTTAAATTCATTGGCTGATTCCAACTAGTTGTCAAAACAAGCCTAGGTTTCCAATCACACAGCCAATTGATACATGTTTCAGTTTCAGAACTGACTGTACATCTTCAGCTACATACAGACACATTTTCTTTTCTGTATAAATCTTTAAGCTTAGAAAAGCACTTTAACTCTTAAAGGAACCACGCACTCTTCTCCCTTATCATTTTTTTACAAACAGATTCTAGTTTCCTGCCTTCCAATTTATAATTACTGTACACAACTTCATAACAATACAAAACAGCTTGTAGTTGATGAGATGAGTTAGTGGTTCTTGCCTCAAAATATTGGTTAAAATGTTTTCCATTATCGATTGACATCTTGAGATGGGAATGAAACAGAAAATTGACCAGAAGAGCGTCACAATGTTGACTATTGGTGAGCCACTTTAAATTGGTGCAATGGGAAACAATGTAAAGAAATTCCATTCTCAGACACACACTTAATGGATAAGGTAAACGTTCTGCTTTTGAACATGCCATCCCACAGTTTTCTACCTATTTACTCTACTGGATGGAAAATCACAGACAGGTGAGAACAGAAGCAGACCTTTTAGTCTGCTGAATTTGGGGTCCAGAAAATAGTCTGTGTTTGAAAATAACTTACTGCAAATGGTTTGGAAAGAGACATAAATAAATATTAATAGATTTTTTCTTGTACAACAGACTTGTCTTTGCCAAGTTATGGAGGATCCAGATATATGTCTGAATACAGATAAATAAGGACTGATTGGAGAATGTCAAGTGTGATTGGCACAGAGATATCTGTCTAAGCGCCCTGAACACTGTTGAGAATGCTAGCGTAGGACTGGACTGGATGCTGCATTCACTGGCAGAGTAATGTGCAAATCAGCAAAGGTATAAGTCACCAAAGACCTTGAAACTATGTACAATGATCTAGTGATCTCTGTGGTGTGGATTTCCTCTTTCCAATGTCAGCTTGATTCTGGTGCCATTGAGGTTATCTCCAGGTGTCCAGTAAGTGCAACGTCTTCAAATAAGTAAGCAACCATCACATTGAGGTATTCACCCAGACAGCAAACCAGGAACTAAAATTCACTGGATCTATTTACCTAACTTTGAATTTTACAGGCAGCAAAATAAATTTACAGGGACATATACATGGGATTAAGGTAAAAACAAAAATTTTGAAATAGAATCAAATTTTAAAATGTGTGGAATTTTAAATCATAATAAAGAAATTTGATGGACAACATACATGAAATTTATTATTCCGAGCCAGTGTTCCTTATTAGAAGTAAGAACTTAGTATGCTGTTAAAACCCAATGTTTTCTTATTCAACAAATTGTAACATTTTCAAAGGATTTGACAGTGGCTCTAAGGAAGTCAGTGAGTTCTTCAAAAATTCTAATTAATTATTTTCGGGCAGCGGGAAGTGGGGTGGCTTCAGTAACACACGCATGGGTGAAGACCAGAAGAACTGACAGCAACTTCACAATTTCCACAAGTGCATACTGCAGATGTTGCTGTCAATTCTGGAGGAATAATGCTGACTGTTTCACCTCAGAATTCAAGGCCTTTACTTCCTGGATTATCAATTTGGAGGCCTGAACTAATGAATTGGAAGGATGAATTCAAATCCAATGTTGTAGCAGAGGAATTTAAATTCAATTGTTTGAATTAATCTTGCATTTTAAAAAAAAAACTAGTATCAGTAATACTGACCATGTAACAACTGTATTTTAGTAAAACCCTGTCTGATTTATTAATGTCCTCTTTAAGCAACAAAACCTGCTATCCTTCCCAATCTGACTTGTATGTAATTCTGTGTCAAATCAAGAGAAAAACTGAAGCTTGTAAACATTTTTATCCAAATGAATACAATGTTTTGATTCATTCCCTGCAGGAAAAGAAATGCATTTGTTTTTAAATTGCCTTTGACTGCTCTTTGAAATACCTAGCAAGTCACTCAGTTGTCAAGAAAACAGTAAACCATCATCTTCTCAAGGACAGTTAGTAATGGGTAGTAAATGGTGGCCTTGACAGCAATGCCCATACCCTGTGAATAATGAGGGAAAAAATATCAATTTGTGGAGTTGACATCCAGACAGAGTACTGGACTCATTTAAGAAGCAAGTGATAGCTTAAAAAGTAGGAGGGAGAACATTAAGATCTGTCCCAGATAGTTGAATTAATACGAATCAAATGGCCTACCTCATTTGAAATTAGCTTGTGAATCTTGTGTAATGAAAAAGTCCATAAAACAACTCGAGTTTGTAGAAATTAGATGAAAGAAACTGTAGATCATTGAGTGGATAGAAAAAAAAGCCTTGGGGTAAATTCATTTTGGTAGATTCTGACATTGTGTGATAGTGTAAAATAGGTGATAGCAGATCAATAAATTATAGAATATGGATGTTCGTCTGTGATTCTGACAACCAAAGCAGAAACAGAGGCCATTTTCATATATCTCTTGATCTTGACTTCTTTTGGAGGTCCATATAAATAATATTGGAGGAGATGTAAAACTGGTTGTTGATTGTGCTATTACTCATTTTACATGATTACATAAAGTCAGAATCTAACCCACATATATTTTTGAAAGCTCTGCAGCACTGGTTTGATCTTATTTCTGTAGAGAATCACTCATATAAACACATGCATTTACTTGGCACTTTTATTGAAGTAAAGCGTTCCAAGATTTTTAACAGGACAATTTTCAAATAAATGTTGACGCTGAGTCACATTGAGAGTTAATAGGATAGATGACCACTAATTTTAATTGAAGAAGGAAGTTTTAAGAAACATCTTAAGAGAGGAGACAGAAACAGAGAGGTCATGGCAGTTAAATAGACATTCCACAGCATATAATGAGAGGGCTGTTATCCCACCTGCTCCAACATTGTGTAAAAACCTGTCTGAACAAAATGATTAAAAATATCTACATTGTGCACAATTATAACCATTTTAAATGCTGCTGATACGTTGCACATAATCTGAAGTACCAAAGTAACAAAACATTTTTGAGCAGGTAGAGCAAATACCAGGTCAAGAGCAGTGATTCTCAATTCCAGTGGAGACAAGCAGAATATACAGTCTTTCAGAGCGGATTAAGTACAAATGGAGGCCATCAGTGCCTAATATTTCCTCTCCATAAGCTTCATCGACATAAAGAGCTTGTGTTTTCTCTCAAGTCAGTGTGACACTGTGCCAGGTGAATTAAAATATTGACTAATCACTTCCCCTTGTTGCTGGGAAATTATTACAAGGGAGTTCCAGGCGCTAGAAAATAGGCTTACTAGCAGTTTGGTAAGTAGGAAGGGGATGTTTTTTCAAAAAAAACTTCCCCTACCATTTTTTTCAGCAACTTTCAGCTGTAGAACTGAGATAACTAGTTGGAGCTTACAAGCAAATGCTGTGTCCTAAAATTTCATGCAATACGCAGAAGGATCTAGAAACAAAAATTGAACCCTTCTTACGTGATCATATTGATCCCAAGCAGGCAGTCACGAGGGACCATTATAAACATGAAGACAAGTATGGCAACAGTCTTGCCACCAGTTAGCACAGATTAGACACAGGAATTAGTACAGTTTGTGACTGCTGCAGCCAAAGAAAATGGGTGAATTGCATACCAATTCTTCCCTCATTGTGTCTAAATAAGATTTGTTTCATGTAGCCCTAGATGTCAAATATCAGGATGTTAGGGCAACCCAACCATGTAAACTGACATCTCTGGCCTAAGTTATCTACTCTACTTTCTGTTATGAGGCTTGGACATACAAGTTCTTGACTCAGAGGCAAGAGGACTGTCACTGAGCCAAGACTGACAATACAGGCAGTGATATACAGGAAGCTTAAAAAAATGGATGGAAGCCAGACCCTTACTAATGGTGAGCGGAGGCCTACTGAAACTTCAGTTTTTGAAAGGAAGATGTGACTAATGCGCATGAAATATATTTAGCATTAGCAAGCAGCACTCAACAATAACTGCACTTCATCGTATATGGAGCACTTTTAGACGTTTCTGGGAAACATGAAACAATTCAATACAAGTACAAGCATTTTTTTTTTCTTAAACCATATCAGCAACTTAAATAATAGATTTATCTGATGAGCTAGAGAGATTGAGCGTGCAGTTGAAGTTGATAGCATGTGTAATCATGATAAATAACCCTTTCAGGAATAATAAAAGCAAAGAACCTTAAAGCACAAAAGGATGCCATTCAGCCTATCATGCCTATGGCAGTTCTGGAAAAGAGCTATCACCTGCTTTTTCTGCATAGCTCTGTATTTCTTTTCCCTTTTTAAGTATATATCCTATTTCTTTTCACACTTACCTCTGATACTCCATCCACTAATTTCTCATTATGTACTGCATGTAAAAGCAATCCCCAATTCCCCTCTGGTTCTTTTGCCAATTAGCTTAAATCTTAAATTCTTTGGTTACCAGTCTTCCTCTGTTAGTTCTAAGGAGATGAAGAGTTTACTTGTCTCCAGTGTGCTCAGGGTAGCAAAATAAATTTGTTGAAACTAGACACAAATTTCCAGCGAGTGCTGCTGCACTCCATTCGCTCTAAAGATGCCCCAGTGTATTAATGGGGTAGATTTATCCCAGAGGACATAGCCTTGTCAGATCATTCAATTTCTTGCGGCATTTAATCTGTTGAGAGTGAAACAGTTGGTACTCTATGCAATTGACATTTTTCTCCACAAGGCACAGAACATTTCTTTTGAGGTTTCCTCCAAAGTAGGACTCAGATCTTTCTCTGATGTCTTTTGATATGCCTTCTCAAGAGAGTGTTTAAAAGTTAGGCACACTAGACAGACAAGGCAATTCTGGTCTCCCTTCTATAGGAAGGATGTTGTAAAACTTGAAAGGATTCAGAGAAGATCTACGAGGATATTGCTAGGGTTGGAGGGTTTAAGCTATAGGGAGAGGCTCAATAGACTGGGGCTATTTTCCCTAGAGCATTGGAGGCTGAGGGGTGACCTTAGAAAGGTTTATAAAATCATGAGGGGCATGGATGGGGTAAATAGGCAAAGTCTTTCCCCCGAGGTGGGGGAGTTCAAAACTAGAGGGCATAGGTTTAAGGTGAGATGGGAAAGATATAAAAAGTAACCTAAGGGGCAACATTTTCACGCAGAGGGTGGTGCGTGTATGGAATGAACTGCCAGAAGAAGTTGTGGAAGCTGGTACGATTACAACATTTAAAAGGGATCTGGATGTGTATATGAATAGGAAGGATTTAGAGGGATACGGGCCAAATGCTGACCAATGGGACTAGATTTATATAGGATATCTGGCATGGACGAGTTGGACTGAAAGGTCTGTTTGCGTGCTTTATATCTCTATGACTCTATAAATCCTACGTAGTCCTTCTTGTGTTTGTCTGAGTCAGATTTTCCCCGGAGTAGTGATAGAGCCATGTAGCACATGCAATTATAACCACTCAGTGGATCCAGTGATAAGTTTAAAAATGCCATCTTTATTGATGCAAGAGTTCGAACCGTACCTTTGTAATGAATAGACATTCTTGTTAATTGTGCCAAAGTATATAATCTAATGCATTGGAAGGGGAGTGGCTCATTTATTCGCTTAAACATATTTTGCCATTCAACGAGATCATAACTGATCTGCAACTGAACTCCATTTACCCAACATTGCTACCCAAATGCGTCAAAGGATATGTGGCAATCTGTTGGCATCCTTTAAATTTAATGACTGATCTAATATCAATTTTTGTTTGCAGAAGAGAATTCTAAACTTCTACCAGAGATAGTAGGAACTGCAGATGCTGTAAAATCTGAGATAACAAGGTGTAGAGCTGGATGAACACAGCAGGCCAAGCAGCATCATAGGAGCAGGAAGGCTGACGTTTCGGGCCTAAACCCTTCACCAGAAGGGCATCTTTCTGATGAAGGGTCTAGGCCCAAAACGTCAGCCTTCCTGCTCCTATGATGCTGCTTGGCCTGCTGTGTT